ACGCACTCTGAGTATTGGTACTGGTAGTGAATTTCAGTTCTCCCGTTTGAATTTGCATCCAGAATGTCCTTCGTTTAGGTATTCCCTATATTAGAACATGGCGAACTGTGCCAATCTCTGGTTTCCGCAGCTCGGTGAGTCGAATGCCTTAGGGCGCATGATCTGAGTTCACGACACGGAGAAAAAAATCTGCCGTACTTCGTTCTGCTGTCTCTCTAAGATTCACTGCACTTCAACATGGCACCGAAACCGTGGAGGACTGGAAATATAAAACTAGCATAAAATAACATGCCCAAGAGTTGCACAGAGTCGAACACGGAATAGGCGTTTCGACGTGGTTCCCGTGGCAGCGAGTTTGCATCCTTGCGATTTGGCAGATTTTCGCTGTACATCCACCTTTTAATTTCTCCCTTACGCCATATATCAACAGATAGTTTTATACAGTCATTGTGACACTGAGTAGTATTCAGATCGTTTCTTTTCTGCCACTGTCACAAGTACATCAAGCCACAGAAAATTTGGCAGCGAACCGTGAACGATTTGTGACAATCTTGCAGCGCATTCACTTACAACTTGCGCGGTCCTTTTCATTCATTCTTCAGGCAGCAGACAGTCAAGTAAATGTTTACCAATTTCATGATAACACGCGAACTTTCTATGTGATTCTTGTTAGACACAGAACTTGTGTTCACAATGAAAAACTTGTTTGTTTTAGTCGCAATCATTGGTGTCAGAAACGCGATAAGTTCTCAGAAGCAAATTTCTAATCCGCGTTACTTCGACAGTATTACGGTGAATACCCCATGGTCAACAGATGCTATGAATGAAAGGAACTGCCTAACGTGGTATAATGATTTGCACTTCCTGTCCTGGAATCATAAAATTAGAAGTGAATTTTCCAAATTTAAAAGTTTTACAAAAGGCTTAAATGTGTGCTCATAAACAGCTCTCAACCGATATGCTGAATAAATTAAAAACTGGACACACTTGGACACGGACGAATTACATCGATTCAACCTGTCGGTTATAGGATTGTTCCGAGTCCCCTACGTGGAAAAATCTTCACACATCTAATAGACCATCATCCAAAATACACTAGAGCTCTCACCGATTGTAGAAGCAAACATAATGAAGCTAATGATTTGAAGCGCTGTTACTTCTTTGTGGAG